CTTTGCCATCTCTTATCATTTGTCTTCTTGACAGTAGCTGTTCTTACTGGATTGAGGCAATAAGTCATTGTGGTTTTGATTTGCATGTTTTCTTGATCACTAGTAATGTTGAGCATTTTTCATATACTCTTGGCCATTTCAATGTCTTTTAAAGAAATGTTTATTTTCATTGAATTATTTGATGGTTTTTGCTACTGAGTTTTCTGAATTCCTTATATATTCTCAGTACTCAGTATTAACTCCTTGATAAAGTATAGTTTGCAAATATTTTGTCTTGGTGTATAGATTTTGTCTTTTTTTTTTTTCTCTTCTTTTTATCGGTACCGGGGATCGAACTCACGACCATTTGCTTGCAAAGCAGATGCTCATGTCGCTGAGCTAAATCCCCAGCCCCATAGATTTTGTCTTTATTCTGTTAATTGTGCTGAGAAGAAGCCTTTTAGTTTGATGCATTCGTATCAAAAATTGTCAGGTTTTGCTTTTTTCTTCTGAACTTTTTGAATGTTATCTTAAATATTAATGCTTCTGTTCTTTTTTTTTTTTTTTAATCGGTACCGGGGATCGAACTCACGACCGCCTGCTTGCAAGGCAGGTGCTTATGCCGCTGAGCTAAATCCCCAGCCCCAAATATTAATGCTTAATGATGCTTTGTATTTATGTTGTGATGGTTGTAACATGTCCCTCTTTATTTCTGAATTTGACACTTTTTGAAGAACTAACCCTTCGTTTTATTAATTGTTTTTAGTTTGTATGCCATTTATTTCTGCCCTGTTCTTCATCATTTATTTCTATCTACCAGTTTTGTTTTTTTTTCTTTTTTTTAAATTTTATTTAAGGAGAAAAGAAAAAAAAAGCAGGGAAAGGGTACAAGTTATACAGATTTACAGAAAAAAAATGAACAGTAGGAAACCACTAGTTAATGGATTACATATTGCCATCTTAGAAATAATTGTTCAAGTCACAAAATTAAAGCTTGTAAAGTGGACATTCCATCAATGATACTGCAAACAGTTCTGTTTATTGATCCAATAAAACTCTGTGATATCATTTTCTATCTTATACACTTAAATATACATGCAGTTATATAGTTTGGAGCACTTTCTTTTCCTCTGTTTTGTACCATGACTATTACACATTTTGGGTTTCATTGCTCCCACGGTTCTTTTACTTTTTTGGAAGAGAGTAAAACCAAATGTGACATAACAGACCAGAATCGGTCAAGTCAAGGGGGTGGACATAATAGATAATGTAAAAACATAATACAAGGTGATCAACAATGGTTACCATAATGCCTCCCGCTATCTCTAATAGAATTGCCTATATCGTTAGTTATAATACAATTGAACAAAACAGTAAAGAATAAAACCGACAAAACCAAAACATTGGAGACATTGTAGGTCTTCAAAAGTAGATAAAAGTCAACAAGAATGGGCGCCATAATGAATCTCATTATCTTCACAGCTGATGCCTAAACTTTCGAACCTGATACTATCCAGCAAAACAGAATAGGGGAACATCAGTTAAAAACAAGATGGTGAGAGTAATACAGGGCTTTAAATCAAGGTAATGAAAAGTCAAAGTGGGTTACTATAATATATCCTGCTAATTTTTTTTCCTTTAATTAAAAGGATAAAGATAAAAAAGTAAATAATGGAGTGGAGATTGAGATAAAAGAGGGCATAACAATGAAACAGCGCAGATCAAAACATAACCATTTAAGCAGAATGGTGTTTCACCACCAGATAATCCTGGCCTAAAAGTAGTTACCATATTGTCTCTTTCTTTGAAATCCTTGAGTACAACTTCATATACTGTAGCATTAAGTATATCAAAACAATGTAAAACCATTCAAGAGAATGACAGCATTACAGAGTATTTAGAATCGACTAACAGAAAATGAACAATGGTTTCTGTATAATCTCCTTGTCTTTAAAAGGTTTTTGCTTATACTATCGTACATAATAAAATCCAGTAAGATACAGCCTATTTAGACCATTGGAGACAGAAGGACAAAATCTAGATGAGACTTCAAAACAAGATGATACTAAATCAGTATTACCTATTAAGATGTCATTTTCTCCAAAATAGCTGTTCCTATCATCCAATCTTCTCTGCCTCATTTCTGTTGAGCTCTTTTTCTGTCAGTAGCTGTCAGTTTGTCTTCTTCATTTTGTTCTCTGCTCCATTCGTTGTGGCCTCTCTGCCATTATTTCTGGATTCTTTGTATTTTTCTTTTTTTAGAATATCCTGCAATACTCTCTGTAGAGTTGAATTGGTGGTTGCAAATTCCCCCAGTTCCTCTTTATCCTGGAAGCACCTTGTTTTTCCATCAATTTCCAGGGACAGTTGTGCAGGATATCTCAATCTTGGCTGGAGATTATTATCTTTCAAAGCTTGAATTATTTCCCCGCACGCTCTTCGTGATTTGATGATTTGTGCAGAGAAATCGGCTGTAATTCTGATGGGTGTTCCCTTGTAAGTGGTCTGTTTCTTGTCTCTTACAGCTTTTAATATTCTGTTCTTGTATTGAATTTCTGGAATTTTTATTATTATATGCCTGGGTGTCGCTCTGTTTGGGTTGTAGGTAGCTGGGGTCCTGTATGCCTCATACATCTGAGTATCTTTACCTTTTGCTAAATTAGGAAAATTCTCCTGGATTATTTCTGTGAGTAGCTTTTGTAGTTCACTTGTTTGTGTCCCTACTTCTTCTTTTATGTTCTTAATCCTTAAGTTATGGATCCTCTTATCATCTTCTTGTCTTTGTATTATTGCTGTTTGTTTCTTTGTTATTTTTAAGAAGTTTTTCATTTCATTCTCCCATATTAAAAGTCTGCCCTCCAGTTCAGATAGTCTGTCCTTAGTTTCTTTCAAGCTGTTATGCCAGTCTTCTATAGACTTCTTAGTATCTTGGTAGTCCCTTTGAACCTGCTTCACGTATTCTATGCTTTCTCTGTTTTCTCCATCAAACAATTCTCCCCTCTTTTTCTGTTCTTCCATTCCACCACCTGTTTTTCCTTGGGTGGTACTTAGCATTTCTCTAACTATTCTGCATAATTCTAGCTTCAGGTCGTTGATAACTTCATTCCTGAATTGGTCTATGAGGCTCTCTATATGGTGCCTTATGTGTATTGGTGCGGTGTCTGCTATTGCCTGTTTCTCAGAATTGGGGGCCGAGGAGCCTTTCTTGTTGCTGCCTCTTCCCATGCTGCCTCTTCTTCTCTGTTCCTTATATATGCAAGCTTATATAAGAGGCCCAGCTTCTCTCCCAGTCAGCCACAGCCTGATCGAATTGCGCCAGTTAGGTGTTCCCGCTCACCGCTGCGCACCAGGGAGTTACGGACCAGGCAGCCTACGCGTCTCCCCTCCCGGCCACCGTCAGGCTCTGGGATCTGGGTTGGGACAGCCTATCAGGTCCGCCGGCAGCATCACGCAGGCCAGGCACTTTTCACCAATCCCGCCCGAGAGGGGGATGTGTGGCTGGAGTCGCCACCGCGCCCTGCTCCCGCAGGACTGCTCGGGCCCAGAAAGTCCTCTGCTGGAGTCAAACTGTGGTAGAGTGTCAGTTTCTCTCACTCACCTCACCACAAGTCAGTGCACACCTCCCTGCCGTTCGCAGATTGCCGTTCTCAGAGCTTCTGCGTGTCTCTCTCCTTGCCGAGCTACTGTAGAGGCAGCCAGCTGCCGCGCGGCGGGAAACCCAAATCGCGGCTTACAATGGCGTGGGGTCCAGCCTCCACCCCAAGGCTTTTCTGTTCCTGTTTTAGCACCAGGACTGCATTCCAAGTTGGTTTCTCTCAGCCCAGTTCGTTCCTGAGTCAGCACAGCATATCTCCACCTGCTTATGTCTCCTTAGTCCACACCATTCCTGGCTTCTGAGCCGAGTCTTTCAGAGAGCCTCCAGTAGTTGCTATTATCTGTCCGCCATGTTCTCCCGGGTTGTTTTTTTTTTTTTTTTTTTCAACCCTACAGCACCTGGTATTCCCAGGTGGTCTCCCATCCAAGTACTAACCAGGCCCGACCCTGCTTAGCTTCCGAGATCAGACGAGATCGGGCGTGTTCAGGGTGGTATGGCCATAGACCTATCTACCAGTTTTGCATTTGGATTATTCGTGTATTTTGATATACAGTGGTAGGTTGTTTGAGATCTGCTTTGTTTTTCATTTTGTTGATTGCTATAAACTTACTGCTTTTGCTCAGTCCCATAGATTTTGATATGTTGTTGCCATTTTCATTTGCTTAAAGAAATTTTTACATTTCCTTTGTGAATTTTTTCTTTCTACTATTGGTTGTTCAACAGTAAGTTGTTTAATTCTGTATAATTGTCTAATTTCTGTATTATGATTCTGCAGAGAAATAGAACCAGTAGAATATGAATATATATGGATTTATTAGATCATATCACATGAGCTTAGGTTCAGAAGTCCCACAGTGTCTGTCTGCAGGCTGGACAGCTGGGAAATTGGTAGCCACTCAGCCCAAGATGAAGGAAGCCTCACAATGGAAGCCTAGTCTGAGGGACAGATTTGAGTTCTAGTGGTGATTGTGTGGTAGATTAGGAGTTCAAGTTTAGACATGCAGACTTTTAAATGCCCATTAGGTATCTATGTGGTGAAGCAAAGAGAATAATTTTATATATGAGTTTAGGAAGAGGTCTTGGTTAGAGATGAAATGTGGGAGTCACGTGACATTAGAACCTGAAGGGAAAAGGATCATCTGAAGAAATCACTATTTTTTAAAATAATTTTTTATAAGAAAAGTTCCTGTATCCCTTCACCCATTTCTCCTTAATGTTAATAAAACCATGAGTTCATCAAAGCTTAAATACCACGATTGGTACAGAACCATGAATTCAACTCCAGACTTCATTTTCACTTCACCAGCTTGAAATCACTAATTGTAATATAAGGTGGAAGTTTAGAAACAGTTTACAAATCACCCATATAACTTTTTGACTTTTCTCCTTTCCCCTTATAGAACTAATGGCTGAAGAATAAATCAACATGGCAACTATGGTTCCACCAGTGAAACTGAAATGGCTCGGACACCTGAACAGTTCTGGATTACAGAAGACAGTGAATCTATTGCTACAAGAGAGGGAGTTGCCATCCTGTATTCTAAACTAGTCAGCAATAAGGAAGTAGTATCTTTGCCCCAACAAGTTTTATGTCTCAAAGGACCACAGTTGCCAGACTTTGAACGTGAATCTCTTTCAAGTGATGAACAGGACCATTATTTGGATGCACTTCTTAGCAGCCAGCTAGCACTAGCAAAGATGGTTTGTTCAGATTCTCCATTTGCTGGGGCACTGCAAAAACGCCTGCTTGTACTCCAGCGTGTCTTCTATGCACATTCTAATAAATACCATGACAAAGGAAAAGTGAAACAGCAGCAGCATTCTCCGGAGAGCAGCTCTGGTGCAGCAGATGTCCATTCTGTTAGTGAACGTCCTCAGTCAAGCACTGATGCACTTATAGAAATGGGTGTTCGAACTGGTCTAAGTTATTATTTGCACTTCTGAGACAAAGTTGGATGATGCCTGTGTCGGGACCTGGCCTTAGTCTTTGCAACGATGTTATTCATACTGCAATTGAAGCTGTGAGCTCTTTGCCACCATTATCTTTAGCCAATGAAACCAAGATTCCTCCTATGGGTTTGGACTGCTTATCACAAGTAACAACATTTCTTAAAGGAGTAACTATTCCCAATTCTGGGGTAGACATTTTAGGTCGTAGATTAGCTTCTGAGTTGCTGCTAGGTTTAGCAGCTCAGCGAGGCTCTCTGCGGTATCTTCTTGAATGGATAGAAATGGCTTTGGGGGCTTCAGCAGTTGTTAATAACATGGAGAAAGCCAAACTACTGTCAAGCCAGAAAGGAATGATCAGCTTTGACTGCTTTATGACTGTCTTAATGCAGATGAGACGTCCTTTGGTATGTACTTTAACTGTCAACTTTACTTACTTCTTTTTTTGGGGTTTTAAGGCAGAGTCTCACTCTGAAATCCAGACTGGCCTTAAACTCATTATGTAGCCCAGGCTGGCCTTAAACTTGAGGTGATCCTCCTCCCTTAACCTCCCAAATCCTGGGATTATAGGTACGTGCCACCATGCCTGGCTGTAAATGTCAATTTTCAAGTTTGTAACAGTTTTTGAGAAAGGCACACCAGCTTTTAGTGAATTAGTGATAAGTAAATGATTTAAAAGTTCTTCTGGTGTTTGGTAGTTAATATTTATGTACTCTGTATGAAAAACTCATACATGTTGATAAGTAAGGACAGACTAATTGGTACAGAATTAAGACCACTGGATTAGGAAGCAGGTTTACTGTTATAGTTTCAAGATTTATGTGAGTGTGGGAAATTCATTTAACTTCTGAATACTTATAAACTCATGTAAAATGAGGGACCTTGCCAAGTTAATATGAAAGTCTTTCTAAAACATGTGCAATTTCGTCCTTGGTTCCCAAGTTTTGTTAATCACTTATGGTACAACAACTGTTAGTCTACAGCCTGGGGTTATAGGCCTGTGGGTGCTGTTTCTGCCTTCATAGAGCTAACAGTTGAGTAGGGTGAGAGAAACAGTACATACAAAATTTCAAGTAGAGAGAAGTTCTAAGATGAAAAATGAAGAACACAGGGAATGGAGAGTGACAGACTCAGGGAAAAGGCTGTGAGGTGAAAGATGCACTATTTTAGTCAGTCTGATTAAGGAGGGACACTGCATTGTGACATTTGAGTGGAGACCTGAAAGAAGGGAAATGATGAGCTAAGCAGGAGTCTGAAAAGAGTATGTCATCAGAGGAAATTGCTTGACTGTCATAACCTTGCACATGTTTAGGGATGTTAAATAGCTGACTATATTAATGTTTTTGGATCATTGAACACAGCTGTTTGCAGTCTCTCTGTTTGAATGTCTACTTTGTATTCTTTGATACTGTGATTTGAGCAACTATTTCCAAGATGATAATATGTAATCTATTAACAGGTGATTTCTTACTGTTATGTTTTTTTTGTAGTTCTGTATTATGTGTAACCTTACACTACTTTGTTTTGTTTTGTGTTTTTCTCTTTTTCCTCTTAAATAAAAAAAAGAACAAACAACATAGTGTAGTATCTAGTAAATTTCAAGAACTTTTAAGACTGAAATTAATACTTTTGTGAAAACCAAGGATAAAATTTGAATATTAAAATACTAACTTGGAAGAGTAAGACTCAAATATTTTTAAACTGACTTAATTCAGTTAGGCTACACTGTCAGTCTTTTTTTGCTGTTTTTTATTGTGAAATATTAACTAATGGATTTATTAGTTAAAACAGTTAAATATGTCACTAGTAGATTATGTGTCTAAGGCCTTAGCCTACAAATACCCTTCTTATAAGGAAGAGATTACCTCAGAAACCTAGACCACTGATTGATAGTGTAAATTGCTCTGCAAACCTAAGAAATCTTTATAGTAAATGTGTATACTTACTTATATGTTTTATTCTTCATTTAATTAGCCTGCAATATTCCATCCCAAGGAAGGAAGGAAGAGAATTCATTTTGTTGAGTGCCTACCATCCAGCACCACATACTTTATGTGCTGTCTCATTCAGTTATCATGTTAACTGTGAGGCAGATGTTAAATTACCCTGATCTTGAAGATGAAACAAATGTGGTAGCTTGGATTTACAAATACATTGAACAACAATGTAATATAACAGGTACTCCAGATTTAAGCACATAATAGATCAGGCATAACATTAAATAGTTCTTATGACCCTGAATCAGTCTGCAAAGCTTATTATTTTTTCTGATTATTCTATGCAGTTTTTATTCCATTTTTGCTAAATTGATTCATTTTTCCCCCATTAATGACTACTTTAAAAGTAGATGTAAAATATGTTTATTTTATTGCTGGATTTTCAGCTTTATCTCTACTTGGCCTCATTATTGGGCAAAGTACCAAGCATACCTAGTCAGAAGTCACCTATCAACTGAAGCTCATAGGGCTTCAAGACCATATAGTGCCCTGTAGCATAGCTCCTTGTTGGGCCATTGGTGTTCTAGAAAACTATATTGCTTTCTGCAGAATCGTGCCTCTACTCTGGGGAAGAAGTCTGTGTGTTTGATTTAATTTGTCTCTCTCAAAGTTACCTCTGACCTGCATTAGATATCAATTAAATTAAAACTCAGATTGGTTTTAGGGGAAAGGAATGGTTATTTAATTGAATTTTGTATTAGTTATTGCTCCTTGTGTAGCGAATGACTGAATCTGATGATGATCTTGATCTCTAGAACTCAAGTTTCTTACCCTTTACTATGTACTCAGAACTCAGACTACATGACCCTCTCCTGCTGTGTTAGACCCCATGTGACCTGAATGTCCTTTCCATGAGTTTCTTAGCCTCTGTATGACTGGGATAGGATTTGAATTGTAAGATACAGGGAGCTGCACATAACCATCAGTTCATTACCAAAGTCTAACAAAATAAGTTCAATCTGTGAATTATGTTTATTTGTGTGATTCTTAAACTCAGCTACCCAAGTATATATTTGAGTAGGCACAAATAAAATACTCTTTAAATAAGAGTAGAGGGAAAAGAAAGTTATTCATATTGTAATGTAAATGTACATCTTCAAATTCTAAAAAAAAATAAACCATAATATAAACTCCTTTGGCATTTGATGCCATTGAATGTTTACTGGAAACTTGTTCCAGATATTGTTAGATGCTGGGTTAAAAAGCATCTGTGTCTTTACTTTAGCTAGATTGTGATTTAATGAAAGAGGGAGACATACACATTTCAAATTAAAGATAATGGGATGACTAGTAAAGGTCTGCATTGGAAGGGGGTTTATGAACATAAAAAGTGGGCCTTACGAAGGAAGGATTTTTACATTAGTTGAAAGATAGAAGGAATTAGTCTGCTGACATGAATTGCATGAGTGGGATTAGGTGGGGAAGGGAAAAATCAAAATTCACAAAGTGACCAGGGAGTGGGAAGCAGCAAGCTCCTGGATATGGGGGCGTAGAATGGGATGAGATGAGGCTGTGAGCTAGGCAGGTGCTATATCCCGTGCTGTATGATTTGGGCACTTAACTTGTAGGCAGTGGAAAGTCACTGAAGCAATTTTGAGAAAAGACAGAACCTTAAGGAAATGTACTCCCTCTAGTTGTACATCCTTGTCTGAATACCTTAGACAAATGTGGGGGGAAAGGTATTATATTATTTTGGATGGTAATTATTTAAGACAAGGGTAATTAAATGGATACTTTAGAAATCACAACTTTATGTTGCTTTAATTTTTACTTGGACTGTTATACTTTGTATCATATATTAATGGTATATGAAGTTACACATTTAATCAACTGTCTTGCACAACTTAGTTTCTTTAAAGATGGATAATTTTAGTTGTTTCTAGTTATGCAGCATATTTATAAAACACACAGTACTAACAATTCTGTGTAGAGTGGATTGTAGAGATGTCTCTAATCTTGACTGGGGTAGACTCATCCTCAACTAATTGACTTTTCTTGGAAAAGGAAATAAACTAGTGACAATGTGTATTACATGGAATTTGCAGAATATTTTATTAGTTTAGGTTTTTCTTTTATCTGTTTACTTTTTTAAGTATTGAAAATCGTAAGCCCTTATACTTGTTAGGCAAGTGCTCTACCACTGAGCTATAGTCTAACCTTGGTATAATATTTTTAAATTTAGCAAGAATTAATATTCCTAGTATTCTCTTTTTCAGTGTACATAATATTAAGTACTGCTGTCAGTTTTGAGATCTTACTATGTGTTGGAAAAGCATACATGATCTCTCTTCCCAGTTGTATCTAAAGATGAGTCATGTGACTAGTAAGTATGCAGCCTAGATTTAAACCTAGATTGGTCACTATTGCTGTTTTCAGCATTGTCCTAGAAAAGTATGAAAGAGGGATTATAATGGCTTTGGTGCCAGCTACCATAAAGTTACAGCAGTTTGTTCCTCATCACTTGATTTAGTGATCACAAGAGTTTGCCTTTAAATAATGGAGCCACATATCACAACTGTGTTTTCCCCAGAAATGCTGTGCAGCTAATTAAACAATTTAGAGAGGTTGTGCCAAAGTATTGGCTGCTATAGCAACACAATATATATCTAGGGACTGGTTATTTCCTGAAACATTCAGCTTTTTGTGTGGTTCCAGCCCTCCATGTCAAAATATGAGCCTCAGAGAGTAGCATGAGCATCACCTGGGATTTGTTAGAAATGTAGACTCTTGATGGTCGTGATGGTGCACACCTGTAATCTCAGCTGTTTGGGAAGCTGGAGCAGCAGGATCATCAGTGTAAGTCCAGCCTGGGAAATTCAGTGAGACTTGCTTAATCCCTGATCTCCCAGTAAAAAGACGTAGGATGTAACTTATTAGTGTTAGAATGCCCTTGAATTTGACTTCCCATACTGAAAAAAGAAGAAAAAAAGCAAAATCTCAGCCCTGTCTATACTTCCTCAATCAGAATCTATATTTTAACAAGATTGTCAGGTAATTAGTATCATTAAAACTTGAGAAGCCCTGCCTAAAGTAGTTACGAAGAAAAACTGACTTGGCAACTGAAGGTGACCCAGTAATAACAGAAGTAGCCAAGTTGGGCACAGTGGCACACACCTATAATCCTAGTTATGGGGGAGGCCGAGGTGGGAGGATCACAAATTCAAGGTAGCCTAAGCAATTTAGAGGTCCCTGGTTAGAAAAACATGAAGCAGAAAGGAAGGGAAAAAGAATGAGAGGAAGGAAGGAAGGAAAGAAAAAAAAACTAGCTAAGTAGAACCAAAAATGTAGAGATGGCAGCATATTCTGTGATTGGAAGAGTCTGATTAGCTTATTGACAGCAAGCAGAAGAAAATAGTTATAAATGATAGTTAATGATGGGGTGGGGGGAACAGAGCCTGATGATAGGAAGGTTTGCCTATCAAGTGTTTTATCTCTGATCTTCACTGTCAAGCCAGGCTTTACATTTTAAGTTTATAAACACTTTTGAGAAATGGGAAAGGGAGCCATCTGTAAAGCAAGAAAGTACTGAGCTCTTTAGCTTTGCTGGGGTAAGGAAAGTTGTCTGAAGGGTCATTTACTTGGGCTTCATTGTATGAGTTTTTATTTTTCTTTCTTCTAGTACTAGAGCCTTGAGCTGCATCCCCAGCCAGTTTTATATTTTGGGTGAGGGTCTTGCTGAGTTGTTAGGTTCCCCAGACTGGGCTCAAGTTTTTGATCTTCCTTTCTCAGTCTTCCAGAGTACTGGGATCACAGGTGTGTACCACCACACCTGACTCCATTGCACGAGGTTTTGAAGGCAGAGAATTTCCAGAAGAAAAGTTCTGCACTGTAACAGCTGTTGGAGAATTCCAAAATGATTCCTGTTTAAGTGATACAAGGGTTTTTAATGTGTGTATCTTCCCAGAAGATATAGGTTGATAGATATTTCACCACTATAAGCTGGATGCAGTGTTTGTGTCCAGTCCTAGCTATTCATGTAAGTGAAGAAGGATAAATGCTTAAGCTGAGGAGTTTGAGGCCAGTCTGGGCAATATAGCCAGGCTAAATTTTTAAGAAAAAAAAATAAAACAAAACACTATAAGTTGATTTTTTTGGTGACATAGAAGGCAGATAAATATGTAGAACAACAATGAAAGCTCTGCAAAACTTTAATGTGTTATGAAACTTTAAAAATTCTAAGTTGGATGTGGACCTGCCTATAATCCTAGTATTCTGGGAGACTGAGGCAAGAGGATTGCAAGTTGGAGCCCAGCCTGAGCAATTTAGCAGATTAGCAAGACCTATCAAAATAAAAAAGGGCTGGGAATGTAGCTCAGTGTTTCTGGGTTCCATTCCCAGTTGCAAAAAAAGAGAAAAAAATTCTAACTAAACTTCATTAGAATTAAGTACTATGAATATTTTGTTTGAAAACATTGATTGGGATTTTATATTTGGTTCAAAATAGTCATTTCTTTTATTATAGGGATTACAAAGTTGTAAGTGTAAAATACTTTGCATTGATAAAAGCATAGAATGGAATCTTTCAGGGCATGTAAGTCAACTTTTCCTCTGTGGTACTTTCATATTGTATATCTACCAAGTAAGTGGTCATCTGATTGTATGTTTACAATGTAGTATCTTTTGCAATAAAATCATAAGTGAAATTTTCACAATTATAGCATTGAAAAGTCATAGAAAGAACTTGACATTTGTGGTGAAATTTGAGGTGCCATGGATGTGGTTCACTTTCTACCATTTTTCATTAAGGTAATGATTTCTCTCACTGGGCCTTGCTATGGCAAACACGTCCCAGAGAAATTCTGTAAATATTTTAAGTGTAGTAGGAAAAAGATGCTTTGTTGTTAGTGTAGACACAAACTGACTCCTGGAATATCAGTTATGCTGAAACTGAGAAGAAGATAAGGATAGACTTTTTCCTCTCTGGATCATTACCGCAGATGGCTGTATTCTACTTATCTGTATCCCTTGGGGCAGGAAAGTAAGACAACCCTGGGGGTTCACAGGAAGTTACCCAAAGAACATTTTACTACCTGTTCCCTTCTTTTTTTTTTGCCATTTTTAGAGTCTTGTGACCCTTTGAAATGAATCAGTATTTAATGAATGAATCATGGAGAGATTGGGCGTTAATTTGCCATCTGAGTCAATAACCAGGCCTTTTATAACACTTATGTGTAAAAGTTACTTTGAGATCAAATGTTAGGATTTGGTTCCACTGTGCACAGTCATATAAACAGTCCTCAGGGTTCAGTGGCAGAGCACTTGTCTAGTGTGTCCAAGACCCTAAACACAATCCCCAGTACCACAAAAAACAAGTGAACAAACAATAAACCAACATGTAAATAATTCTTAAAATACACATTGTTTGCATGGAGTATTTTAGTGATTTTAAATATATTATCTTCTCCTTCCCATGCTGTATCCTGCAATGTTTAATTACAGGGGTCATCTGCTGATCGGATTCAGTGGAGAGAACCAACCAGAACATCTGATGGCCTGTGCTCACTCTATGAGGCAGCTTTATGTCTCTTTGAAGAGGTATATAATCATCATGGATTTTGCATTAAGTATTACTTCATCTTTAAATACTATAGCATGTACTTATCCATTAAAAACATGTATTTGGAGAAGGAACTAAAACTACAATCCAAAAGAAAGGCTCCAAAAGAAGGTGGCATGAGTGATTGCCTCTAGAGAGTTGGATTCTAAGGTGTTTTGGCCAGGGGTGGGAAAGAAATGTTTTCACTGTATGTTTTTTGAATATTGGATCATGTACTGGTAAATTTAATTGAGAAACTTATTATTTATTATTATTTTGTCTTTTTGAGACAAGGTGCTGCTGTGCAGTTCAGGCTGGCTGTGAGCTCATTTTGTAGCCCAGGCTGGTCTCCAACTTGAAATGATCCTCCTGTCTCAGCCTCCCAAGTGTTGGGATTACAGGCATGTGCCACCACACCTGGCAAAATTTTTTATTATTAAAGCAGATACAGAAGGACATACACATGTATGACTCAAGGGATTATTAAATAAACACCTTTCTAGTCTGTACTCAGATAAACAAACAGGATTTTCCTGGCCATGGCAGAAGCCTTTCACGTCCTTGTCATAACTTCTTTCCTCCTTCCCTGAACATAATCACTAACATGGCTTTTAGACTAACAACTTCCTTGTGGTTCTTTGTAGTTGTGTTGCTCAGGTATGCCTCCCTAGATACTAGTTCATTCTTGCCCATTAAAAAATAGAAAAGTTTTCAATCTCTGAATCGATACATCCTTTTTTTCGTTCACTGTATATGTGCAGTAACTCACTTAGACTGTACGTTTTCCTAGTGTATTTTGCTGATTGACTACTCTTGAATCAGTTCAGTGTCTTTTGAGTTGCCTGCAGGTTGGCATCTGGATCCAGAGGCTCAGTCAGTCTCAGGTTTGATTATTTGGCAAGATACATACATGGTATTGTGTTTTTTCATCTGGTTTCATCTGATTACCTCTCTTGGTGGTGCTTAACAACTAGATCTAATTGATTTGTGGTTAGTTGTTATGGTGTTTTAATTCTATTATTTTTTCATTTATTAGTAAGAATGTTTTTATAAAGAGATGCTTTCCATATCAACTGTTTGATTACTCTGCTATAGCTCATGCAGGAAAGGCAGAAAAGATGCTTGACTCTCCCTACTTACTTGTATTTTCAATTCATTATTACTATTATTATTATTATTATTATTATTATTATTATTTGATACTGGGAATCGAATTCAGGGCCTTGTACTAAGCAGGCAGTTGCTGTGCCACTGAGCTAAATCCTTAGCCTTTATTTTCAATTTAATGAACTGACCCTTTATCATCCTTTTAAGCTTGATTAAGAACTTGATTAACTTGATTAAAAAATATAACTTTAAACTTGTAGACTTAAACTTGAGTGTTGAATTATTTGTGGTCAGTGTTGCTTTATTTAGGCCTTGTCATGGTTTATGTTTGTGTCCCCCAGGCCTCATGAGTTTGCATTGTTCATTTGTGATGGTTCATTGTATAGTGCTTGGATTGATGGTGTCATTGCTCCACCCACATAGGGGTGGAGCCAGGATGTGATGTAATGGCAGGAAGAAGGTGTGTCTTTCTCTTTGCTGGTTCGAGCTCGCTGTGGGCAGCCGCCATGAGCTGTGGCCCAGCCATACCTGCCTGTCTTGGAGCCAACGGAGTATGGACTGAAACCTCCAAAAACTGTAAGAAATAAACCTTTCCTTTCCCAACTTGGGCTTCAGGTATTTTGTCTCAGCAACAAGTAAAAAGTAACTAAGACAGGCCTGTTGTCTTGTCTTGTCAGGGTGGTAATATCTTCAAAATTTTTCTAAATTCTTTTGACATAAGGCTGCTAACTCTTCAAGAGCTTCTTTGCTTTTTGATACAGCATATTATTCTTGGTGCATCATGTACATTTCTTGCCCTGGGGATAAACTTGATATTTCTTCAAAAAGGCTGTGGTTTTGTTATTGAGAATTGTTAATTTGAATACCATGATGAGGGTGCTAGAGATGCTTACTGCTAGTGAATTGATCTTAATTTTTTAGGCTTTTCTAATAAACAGAGCTAGGAAATTGTGGTGTGTTGTGGGATGTATGCCTGTGTGGTATATTTAAAGCCAAAATACCTCTAATTTAGCCTTTTTTATATTACATTTATATCTTTTTTCCTTCTAATGAAAATTGCTGATTTTAAAGGATAAAGGGATGATAGATTTAGAGTATCTTATAATTACTGATTTGTTTTAATCACATTTTGCACACAAATGCACACATAAACATACACATAGCTGTCCTAAAATAATAATAATTACAAATATTACTTTTTGGTGATTACTGAAAATTAACTTTTTAATGTTCTGATTTATTGTAGTTGTACTTAGAATATGTAGTCATTACATACTCTGTATTATGTACTTTTAAGCCCTCATTTAGTATTAGTTCTGTAAGTATATATGTAATGCTTACTTCTGGTCTCTGTAATCTTTTTGTTGTTTGAAGCCCATTTTGTAGTAGATTTTTAAAAAACTCAGAGGAATGATAGTCTCATAGTTTTTGTATATTGATAATTGCTATGCTGTTTACTACAAAAAGTTCGGGAAATAAATTCTCTGATTCGCCTTTCCTCCCCCACTTTCTCCCTTTGTCCTTCCTCCCCTCTGTGCCTTTTTCTTTCTCTCTCACCCTTTGTCCCCTTCTCTCCTTTGTATGTCTGTCATTCTGTCTTTTCCCTTTCTCAAGTACTGGAGTTTTGAATCTAGGGCCTTTGCATTGGAGTTTGAATCTAGAGCCTTTGCACTGAGTTTGAATCTAGGGCCTTTGCACTGAATAACATCCCCAGCCTTTTTTTTTTTTTGTCCCCAGAGTCTTGCTGAGTTGCCCAGGCTGTGATCAAATTTATGATCCTCTTGACTCACCTTCCAAGAGTGTTGGGAAAATAGGCTTATGCCACTACTCCTGGCTTTACTTTTTTTTTCTCTGTATGTTGTGTTAACCCAATTTCTTTTAGCATGATGAGTTGCTGTCTTAAGACCAAGTCCAAAGATAATCTTTCTTTTCTGTGAGTCACATGCTTATTTTGCTGAGAAGTCTTTTGCAGAACATTTTTGTCTTGTAAAGATCAGTAATTTTACTAGAATCCATCTTGATATTACTTGTTCTGGATATGGTGTTAGAGTCATGAGAAGTCAATATGTAGTTTCAAATATTTTTAATTTCAGAAAAATGTCTTTAAATTATATTTTCTAGTATTAGTTTCTTTGTATGTTTCTTTCCAATTATTTGTAGGTTAGATCTTTGCCTAACAGTGTCATTTATTCTTAAACTTTTAAATATCTTGTTTTTTAATTTCCAAAAATACCTTCTTTTTCATCCTTTGTTTCTTATAGGGCATTGTCTATTGTATTATTTACTTCTGTAGTTTTGCTAGTTTAGTCTTTCTTTTGGAAATATTTTTTATTTCTACTTCTTTATTAAGTATGTCACTTCATTTTTTAGCATTGCCAATTCAAATTTGTGTTTTTCTGTCAAATTTCATTTTCCTAACCCCTTTAACCCGTTGTTCTGTTTCTTTTTTTGGTACTTGGGATCCAACTCACGACTTGGTGCCTGCCAGCTTGCCAGGCAGGTGCTTATGCTGCCGAGCTAAATCCTCAACCCTCTTTAACCTGTTTTGAAATAAGTTAGTTGTTTTGTTTTGTAGACATTTTTCTTGTGGTGTGTTTTGGATGTTACTATGCTCCTTTTCCTTTGCTTTTTTAATAACAACAGGATTTGACCTCAGTCAGCACTTTAGTGTTGGTCATTATGTGAAGTTACTTTTCCTAAACTTTTAAAATAGGTTAGGATTCATTATATCTTTTCTAACTCTATAGACCCCTGCCCTCATGTTATTTTTGTGTGATTTTGAGAAACAATGGTGTCTTCCCAGCTTGTTCTCCTTCCCTGATTTTACCTCACTCTCTCCATCATTCCTTGCACTTCCAGGAGTTTCTTATCAGCGTGGGGCTCTCTTCTAGAAACGAGTCCTGAAGCTGGTTAATTTTTCACAGGAGCTAGATGATTATTTAAAAAAAACATTTTAAGCTCTGTGAGTAGTTTCTTCTCAGTGTTGTGGAGAGCAGAAGTATGAGAAGGCTGCGTTTTTTCTTGTTTATAAACCGTATTATAGTAATCTGTCTTTCAATGAATAGTTTTAACTATCTTGGCCCCACCATCTTTTTGTCACCAGCAAAATTTCCTATCTTTTCTTGGGGATGAGGTGTTTTCACTTACATATTATTTATTGTGTTCTTAGAACTGTCTTCATGTTCACTGGAAAATGCTTGTCCAACTTGTTGTTTTGCATTCTATTTAAAGGTTCTCACTAAAATTATTCTATCTTTGCCCACTTAATGTGCACGCAAACTAATATAGTGTCTGATTTCAAAGATTCTTATATTGTCTTGCTCAGTTAGGCAAGACAGTTTAAAAAAAAAAAAACTGAACCAAATAGCGTCTTCAAAATAGCTCTGGTCACACTGAAGGTCTTTATTGTATTGAGTGCATACAAGTCAGTAAAAAATCCATTAACCACTAATAAATAAGTTTACTTACTATAATGTGGTAAACAAATAGATGGCAAAATTGTGGCCCTACTGATAATAAGGACATGTGAGATTAGTGGCCTCCCTCTTTTTTTCCCTGAAGTTGGCAAACAAAACCCCCAAAGCCCAAAAAAACAAAACACTTTCAAAAGCACAATACACATCAATAGTGTGGGTGCTGTAGTGACATTGGTACTCTCCCAAAGACCCGTTCCTGTGCTTTTGATGAGAAGTTTAAATTAAAAGAAAAACAAAACATTGTGACTAGCAGAAGATTTTACCATTGTATTCAACACAAATGGTAAGTAAGCCATGCCTTTTATTTTGTATATGAGTTTGTGTGTGTGAGTGTGTATGTGTTCAATTGCTCTGGACTCGCATGTTTTGCGGATGGCCTTTCTTTGGAACATTGCTGGTAGCAATGTTATAAACATTTTGGGGAATAGTTTGCTATAGTACATTTCAAGAATTACAAGATTGTAGGATTATTGTCCTTTTTTTTTTTGTCTTTTTCCTTTTTATCGGTACCGGGGATCGAACCCACAACTGCTTGCTTGCAAGGCAGGCGCTTATGCCACTGAGCTAAATCCCCAGCCTCTATTGTCCTTTTTTGATATACCACTTTTTAGATTCTCTACTAAGGAAGTTATAAAAAATATAGTAACAGCTATATTCTTAAAAATGGCCTATAAAATAATGAAACAGAATTTAAATCTTATTAAAGGTAAATGGTTAAATAAATTATGATTTTTGTACTGAATATTTTTCAGTTGTAAATATTATGTAGACAGTAAATTTTGCATGAGCTTTTGTAATGTTTGTCACATTTGTATAACCATAGTAATGACTGTGTTAGTATGTATATAAAAAATTCGAGAATGACACATAAAAAAGATAACAGTTACTATATTAGGGTGATGAGATTATCAATGGTGGTTTTCTCTGTGTTTTTTAAACTTTATTTTTTTATAATGTTGTTGTATTCAGTAATAAAATTCATATTTGGAAAGACATCTCCTTTTCCATTTTGTATTCTTACATGAGTATCTTAGTGATTTATTCTGTGCAAGTACATATTCTAGTTATCTGTGTTTAAGACTAAATATGTAAGACTAGATGTGCTATTCTTAGGTTTGAGCAGTTGAAAGTGGAAGAAAAGTAACAATAATTTTAGAGAATATGCATAAAATGCCTAAACTAAAAATGTTTTGTTTTTTCCAATTTAAACTTTTTATAGGTTTGTAGAATGGCTTCTGATTACTCAAGAACATGTGCTAGCCCAGATAGCATTCAGACTGGAGATGCTCCCATTGTCTCAGAAACCTGTGAGATTTATGTTTGGGGAAGTAACAGCAGTCATCAGTTGGTAGAAGGCACACAGGAAAAAATACTGCAACCCAAACTAGCTCCCAGTTTCTCTGATGCCCAGACGGCAAGTTCCCTGCATACTTTACAAATGGCTTTATACTTACTTGCTTTTTGTTAAGAGTATCTTTTAAATGAATGAAAATTCTTGATTGTTTCTTGTTTATGTTGTGTTAATGCCATACTGCATCAGTTTTTCATTTTAGTAGAAAAATGCCTTTTTGATCTCCTAAACACTTCACACTGTTTCCAAGGTTCAGAAACTAAATTGAGATTTGGATTCTTAGAAAGACTTTTGAATTGAATAGATTTTACCATTATATTCAACACACTTGGCAAATAAGACTAAAGAAAGGCTAAAGACCTTAATTTTCCTTTTTCTAGATAGGCATTTCATTTTCTTATTATGATTACTTTTTTTTTTAACATTTGTATCTCAAGCAAGAACTTCTATTTTATTATTTTAATTGAAATGTATTTTTTTTCTGAATGAGTTTAGAGTATGTTCTGTATGGTTCTTCCATAGTTTCCCTAAGGAATTTATAAGAAAATTTTATTTCTTTTCCTTCTCCAACTATAAAATGAGACTAAAACATTTTACTTTGTTGTTTCATTTAATCATGACTTGGTAGATGTCTTAGTTACTTGTTTTTTTGAGGTAAAATACCTGACACCCCAAATTAAAGAAGAAGAGGTTTAGTTCAGCTCCATTTGTAGACCTTTCACTCTGTAGTTGGCTGGCTTCAAGGCAGGGTGGCACTGCAGAGGGACAGCATAGAGGAGAAATAGTCTGTAGGAAGCAGAAGGCAACAAAGCAGCGGAGCGGGGAAGAGGCAGCTGCAGAGGTCGAGGCAGCTTCTTTCTGTCTCTTTATATTCCCTCCAGGCTCCTGCCTTTGGGGGATGCCACTCACACTTGGTGGGCACCCTTCATCCCAGCATTACATTTTTAATTCCAGCACCATACACCCTAATCTAGCCACCATAGAAACGCTCCACCTATGAGTACACGAGGCTTTGTGGAGACATGAAGGATAAATTGGAAGGATAATATAAATGTGAATTTGAGCTCAAAGATGAAATTAATATGAAAATACTATTAGTATTTCTCTACTTATTCATTTTTTATGTATATTCATGCCATATTCCGCTAAACCTAACCCTAACTGTTGAACTTCTTTGCTAACACTGATTTTAAATATTACACCTTGATACCCACAGAAGCATTTTATATTGTCATTGTGTTCATTTGTAGATTGAAGCTGGACAGTATTGCATTTTCGTTATTTCTACGGATGGTTGGGTCAGAGCTTGCGGTAAAGGCAGCTATGGGAGACTGGGCCTTGGAGATTCCAATATAATCAGTCTACTTTAAAAAAGTTAACCTTTGAGCCTCACAGGCCCATTAAAAAGGTTTCGTCTTCTAAAGGCTCTGATGGTCACACTTTAGCTTTTACGACAGAAGGAGAAGTCTTCAGCTGGGGAGATGGTGACTATGGGAAACTAGGACATGGAAATAGTTCAACCCAGAAATACCCCACGCTTATTCAGGGGCCTCTTCAGGGAAAGGTATGTGCGTTGTTTTTAGATTAAATTATTAGATAACAGTGCTATTGTAATTGATAGTATCTTTTAGATTTTGATGTATTTCTGAAGTTGCCCCTCATCCCTTACTCTTTGACTTAAATTTTTCTGTATCTGCTTTATAGTTGACAGAACACTTTCACATACAGTATTCAATTTTAATTCTTTATGAATGCTTTTAAATTTTTTCTTCTCTTTCTTTCTTTGAGATGAGGTCTTGTGCTATTGCCTGCTGGCCTTGAACTCTGGAGTTCAAGTGCTCCTCTTGCTTTAGCCTCCTGTGTATTTCAGCTCTTAAGCTCTTGGCTCAGTTTTAGTTTGTGTATTATTATAAGAATTAATTTTTATGTGAGGTATTTTTCCCCCATTTTACTGATTAGGAAACTGGGAATCATTCATTTAACCACTATTTATTTGTTTCCAAGTGTAGTACAGTGTTTTTAGGCATTAGAAAAATGCTGTGTTCTCATACAGCTTTAGTCTTCAGGATAAATCAAATATATAAAATAATTTCAGGTCTGGGGATTTAGCTCAGTGGCTCAAGCACCTGCATGGCAAGTGTGAGGTTGTGAGTTTGATACTGGTACCCCCCCCAATCAGTTATAAAGAAAAAAATGAATAGTGCCCTAGAAAATAACTTAGGCTAAGCATTATATGAGGAATCAGGATTTTCTTGGAGAAGGTTGCATTTTAATAGACCTAGATAAAGAAGTATTTAGAATGGTTAAGTAATTATCTAGAGTCTCACAGAAATAATTGATACCACAAGAAACTGAACCTAAATCATATATAAAGAAAGCAGGTGAACTTATATGCATTCTTTCTAAAAGTGTTTTGCATTTTTTCTATAAATGCTTCTTTACATAAAAATCTTTGTGAAATCTAGCCAGATGTGGTGGCACGTATCTGTAATTCTGGACTCTGAGAGACTAAGGAAGATTACAAGTTTGAGCTCAGCCTGGGCAGTTTGGCAATTTGGGACTACCCTGCTTCAAGGGGGAAAAATGTTGGTTGTGGGGCCTTAAGGATATAGGTCAGTGGAAAATCCCTGGATTCAGTACTCAGTACAGAGGGGGAAAACCTCCACAACGTTGGAAAGTCTAAATGTTAACTTTATACCAGTATTACTAGTGGCACACTTTTCCTTCATGAGAGATTTTCTGATCTGGTTGGCTAGCAAATGAATTTTACTCTTTCATAATTTGCATTATTTTAACTTCTATAGCAACCTCAAGGCAAAGGGCCTAGGAATATTGCACTTTGAAAGCATCAGAGGATACTTAATGACATGTTGACTGTTAGGTTCTATGGAGCTTCAGATAAAATTATTTGAAATTGTATTTTCTTGGTCTAATACTTCCTTAATTTCATTAGTTATATTCCTTTGAAGGCCTCATTTTTATAGTGTAAATATTTCCATTGAAAAACAATAGTGTGGGCTGGTGGAGATCCACCAGCGTCTGGGAGGGGCCGCAGAGGGGCAGAGGAGGCTGGGAGAGTGAACGGGGTTCCTACGCGGCCGTGGGGCCGGGGAGTCAGGTCGCAGGGTCGGGGAGTAGGACAGGGAGCCGAGGTCCGGCGGGGTCTGGCGGGGTCCGTGCGGGCACCCCTAGGGGGCGCAGAGCCTGGGTGCAGCAGGGCGGAGGCTGCTGCAGCCAGGCGCGGCACGCGGGGCCCTGGGTCTCGGAAAGCAGCGTGGGTCGGGGGTGCGGACCGGGGAAGGCGCACTGCAGCCGCGCGGGGCGGGAGACCCACCTAGGCCGTGCGGCGACAGTCAGCTTGGCATGGCCTAGGTGCCAGGGTGCGGCGTTTCCAGGCGCAGTGGCTGCTCCGGCCCAGGTGGCGGCCTCTGCGTGGCCTCCAACTTGCTGGGCTCCACGTATCCCCGGGCCGCCAGGCGAGTGCCCACTCCAAGCTGTCTAGCGTGCACCAATGGGTACAAGGGGAAGGGGCGCGCGCGTGGTCTGGGGTTCCCTGACCCCTTGGTGATTCGCTCCTGTGCCAGCGTGCTGTTTCGGGGCCTCCCTCCTGCAGCCTGTCTCGGAGGCAGCTAAGGATCCCAAGGTCTCCTAGGAAACTGCCGACACCCCTAAACCAGCAGCACCCACGCCTGTGGCAGGGAGTCCTCGGCCACCCACAAGGGCGCTCAGTGGGCGCGGGGGTGGGGTGGGGTGGGGTGGGGTTCCCCGCTCGGCTCCACACCGCACCTCTAGCCCAGCCAGCCCAGCGAGCGGGGCCATCAGGGACCCTGAGCTCAGGCTTGGCCTGGGCGCTATCAAGCCGGACCCCAGACGGACTGTGACCTTCACCCCAGCTCTCTCACGTTAAGCCCACTTCACAGGTGCAGGCGCGTGCGTGTGTGCATGCATGACGATCCATGCGAGTGGGTCCCAAGCACTGGACTTCACACACGTATCTCCTGAAAGTTACATCAGTCTGAAAACTTAAAGTTTTACCAAATGATATTTTCTAGGTGAGAGGAGAGTGGTTTTCCTGGAAAAGCTTCCTACTTAGTATGAAGACTCCTTTAAGAAGTGATGGTAATGGTTAATGTGAGTGGGTTTCATTTGACCCTAATGCCACCCTGACAGGCCTCATCTTCTGTCTTCCCCTGGACTCTGGGCTCAGGCCTTCACCCATACACACTGTGAATTTGGTCTCCTCGCCCTAGGAGTGCAGTAAGGGCATCCTGGTGGCCCTGAGAGCCCTTGGATCCCCATGTCTGGAGCTAGAGGGAGAGGGGAGAGAGTGGTGTTCCCCAGATGCCATTTAGAGATTACAGAGAGGGAGCCTGGCCCTGCCAATCAGGGTGACCTACCAGTAATTAATCCCATAAAGGTGTGTGAGGACCTGTGGGGCAAGTACAACAGGACACAGGCGTGGGGTAGCACCTCTAGGGAGTTTCCCACGCATCAGGGAGGTGGTCAGTGTTGTACCCCCATGATGTTGTTTGTTGTCAAGGGGGGGAGGGCAAGACGTCTGTAAGAGAGTGCTTTATTTAAGCTGGTACCCAGCGGCATAGAAAAGATGGAGTTTGCAAGGCTGTGCAACTAAATCAGAATTTTGACAGATTTTTATAGCACATTAACTGAGTGACCTGACAGAGCAGGAATTAGGAAGGCCTTTGTTTCCCTTTGCTTGAGGTCAGAGATGTTTCGCAGTTGGTAGTAGGCCTTTTTATTTTTTCTTAAGTTACAGCCCTTGGTGAACAAAGGTTGACATATCATCATTTGTCTCTTCACAAAGGGAACAATGGTTGACACAGCAAACAGGTTACTAAGGTGATGATGCATACAGAACAATATAGCACACCTCAGTTAATTTATAACTAATTTATAACAATGTGGTCGGTGCTCTGGGTACATGGTTACTAGGGTGATAAGCATAGAGCATAACATTCCCCACTGATTTTTGTTAATGAGCCAAATGATTGGCTCATGGAGTTTTCAAGCAGAGGTATCTGTTCATAAACTTGTGTCTTTGAAATCATGAGTTTTATGATCTTTGACATAATTTACTAATTCATTTATAATGTAAGGTCCAATTGTTAAACAAGTAAGTGAGATTAACAGAGGCCGGAGGCCGTTGTGATTAACGTTGTTAACCAGGGAGATAGAGAAAACCATCATTCAAATCAATTCTGTTCTGAGATCTGCGCCATGTTGGAACTTAGGATGCTGGGAAGCCAAGCAAGCATCTCCCCTCCCTGGTAAGTGGCCGTGGTGTGGCAGACTGCAGCCCTTCCAGGGGGAGAACCACCAGTGTCTCCTGAGATTCGTGCCATGTTGGAACTTAGGACCCTGGGAGACCAAGCAAGCAGCTCCTTTCCCTGGTAAGAGGTGGTGGTGTGGCCGGCTGGGCCCTTCCAGGGGGAGAATCACCAGTGTCTCCTGAGATCTGTACCATGTTGGAACTTAGGACCCTGGGAAACCAAGCATGCAGCTCCCCTCCCTGGTAAGCAGCGGTGGTGTGGCAGACTACAGCCCCTTCACGGGAAGAACCACCAGTGTCTTCTGATATCCACACTATGTTGGAACTTGTGAAGCAACCAGCCTACCTCCCTGCTAAGCAGTAGTGAAGCTACTGGTGCACAGTCTACAATCAAATATCCCACTTTCCTTACCCCTCTTCTTCTGTCCCCATTTTAGGTATTTCTGAGAAACTAGGTTAGTCAAAGTTAGGCAAGTCAGAATTATATGTTGTCTAAAGTTTTTGGACCTCCGGGAGAACATGGCAGACAGCAGATACTACAGAGGCTCTCTGAAAGACTTGGTTCAGAAGTCAGGAATGGTGCAACTAAGGAGATATAAGCCAGTAGAGATATGCTCTGCTGACTCAGGAATGAACTGGGCTGAGAGAAACCAACTTGGAATGTAGTCCTGGTGCTAAAACAGGAACAGAAAAGTCTCAGTGTGGAGGCTGGACCCCGCGCCATTGGAAGCCGCGATTTGGGTTTCCCGCTGCATGGCAGCTGGCTGCCTCTACATCGGCTCGGCAAGAAGAGAGATGCGCAGAAGCTCTGAGCATGGGAGTGTGCGAACGGAGTCAAAAACAGGATGGAAAGGGAGGCATACACTGACTTGTGGTAAGGTGAGTGAGAGAAACTGACACTCTACCACAGTTTGACTCCAGTGGAGGACTTTCTGGGCTCGGGCAGTCCTGCGGGAGCAGGGCGCGGTGGCGACTCCAGCCACACATTCCCCTCTTGGACAGGATTGGTGAAAAGTGCCTGGCCTGCGTGACGCTGCTGGCGGACTCAGTAGGCTGGCCCAACCCAGATCCCAGAGACTGACGGTGGCCCGAGGGGCGACTCCTGCATAGGCTGCCTAGTCCGTAACTCCCTGGTGCGCTGCCAGTGGGTGGGAACACCTAGCCAGCGCAATTCGATCAGGCTCTGGCTGACAGGGAGGGAGGCTGGGCCTCCTATGTAAGCTTGCATATATAAGGAACAGAGAATATGGGAAAAGGCAGCAACAAGAAAGGCTCCTCGGCCCCCAATTCTGAGAAACAGGCAATAGCGGACACCACACCAATAGACATAAAGCACCATATAAAGAGCCTCATAGACCAATTCAGGAATGAAGTTATCAGCGACCTGAAGCTAGAAGTATGCAGAATAGTTAGAGAAATGCTAAGCACCACCCAGGAAAAAACAGATGGTGGAATGGAAGAACAGAAAAAGAGGGGAGAATTGTTTGATGGAGAAAACAGAGAAAGCATAGAGTACGTGAAGCAGGTTCAAAGGGACTACCAAGAAACTAAGAAGTCTATCCAAGACTGGCATAGCAGCTTGAAAGAAACTAAGGACAGACTATCTGAACTGGAGGGCAGACTTGTAATATGGGAGAATGAAATGAAAAACTTCTTAAAAATAACAAAGAAACAAACAGCAATAATACAAAGACAAGAAGATGATAAGAAGAGCCATAACTTAAGGATTAAGAACATAAAAGAAGAAGTAGGGACACAAACAAGTGAACTACAAAGGCTACTCACAGAAATAATCCAGGAGAATTTTCCTAATTTAACAAAAGGTAAAGATACTCAGATGTATGAGGCATACAGGACCCCAGCTACCTACAACCCAAACAGAGCGACACCCAGGCATATAATAATAAAAATTCCAGAAATTCAATACAAGAACAGAATATTAAAAGCTGTAAGAGACAAGAAACAGACCACTTACAAGGGAACACCCATCAGAATTACAGCCGATTTCTCTGCACAAATCATCAAATCACGAAGAGCGTGCGGGGAAATAGTTCAAGCTTTGAAAGATAATAATCTCTAGCCAAGATTGAGATATCCTGCACAACTGTCCCTGGAAATTGATGGAAAAACAAGGTGCTTCCAGGATAAAGAGGAACTGGGGGAATTTGCAACCACCAATTCAACTCTACAGAAAGTATTGCAGGATATTCTAAAAAAAGAAAAATATAAAGAACCCAGAAATAGTGGCGGGGAGGCCACAACGAATGGAGCAGAGAACAAAATGAAGAAGACAAACTGACAGCTACTGACAGAAAAAGAGCTCAACAGAAATGAGACAGAGAAGATTGGATGATAGGAACAGCTATTTTGGAGAAAATGACATCTTAATAGGTAATACTGAATTAGTATCATCTTGTTTTGAAGTCTCATCTAGCTTTTGTTCTTCTGTCTCCAATGGTCTAAACAGGTTGTATCTTATTGGATTTTATTATGTACGATAGTATAAGCAAATACTTTTAAAGACAAAGAGATTATACAGAAACCATTGTTCATTTTCTGTTAGTCAATTCTAAATACTCTGTAATGCTGTCATTCTCTTAAATGGTTTTACATTGTTTTGATAATACTTAATGCTACAGTATACAAAGTTGTACTCAAGGACTTCAAGGAAAGAGTCAATATGGTAACTACTTTTGGGTCAGAATTATCTGGTGGTGAAACACTATTCTGCTTAAATGGTTATGTTTTGATCTGCGCTGTTTCACTGTTATGCCCTCTTTTATCTCAATCTCCACTCCATTATTTACTTTTTTATTTTTATCCGTTTAATTAAAGGGAAAAAATAGCAGGATATATTATAGTAACCCACTTTGACTTTCTGTTATCTCGATTTGAAGCCCTGTATTACTCTCACCATCTTGTTTTTGACTGATGTTCCCCTATTCTGTTTTGCTGGATAGTATCAGGTTCGAAAGTTTAGGCATCACTGTGAAGATAATGAGATTCATTATAATGCCCATTCTCATTGACTTTTATCTACCTTTGAACACCTACAATGTCTCCAATGGTTTGGTTTTGTCGGTTTTGTTCTTTACTGTTTTGTTCAATTGTATTATAACTAATGATATAGGCAATTCTATTAGAGATAGCGGGAGGCATTATGGCAACCATTGTTGTATTATGTTTTTACATTATCTATTATGTCCACCCTTTTGACTTGACTGATTCTGGTCTGTTATGTCACATTTGTTTTACTCTCTTCCAAAAAAGCAATAAGATCTGTGGGAGCAATGAAACCAAAAATGTGTAATAGTCATTGTACAAAAGAGAGGAAAAGAAAGTGCCCTAAACTATATAACTGCATGTATATTTAAGTGTATAAGATAGAAAATGATATCACAGAGTTTTATTGGATCATTGAACAGAACTGTTTGCAGTATCATTGTTGGAATGTCCACTCTACAAGCTTTAATTTTGTGACTTGAACAATTATTTCTAAGATGGCAATATGTAATCCATTAACTAGTGGTTTCCTACTGTTCATTTTTTTCTTCTGTAAATCTGTATAACTTATACACTTTCACTGTTTTTTTTCTTTTCTCCTTAAATAAAATTAAAAAAAAAAGTTTTTGAACTTTTCATGTATGTATGGACTCTTCCTCTGTTAGTGATAAGGAGGGACTGGGAAAGGTAACAGACAGATAGTATCCTCCCGTCAGTGATGGCAGTGAAAATGTGAGCCCATCAGTTACCTTCCTGAAAGTAGGAGCCTGTTATATATCAGGCAGAGAAATAAAAATGTTTTCTTACAAATCACAGAGCAGACAATCAGCAAAAGTGAAATTCACGTGTAATTTTTGAGAGCCTGGAATGCCTTGTACCTTAAAAAATGTGCCTCAAACTATTCATTGTCTTGTATTTAATTACTTTAGCCTGTTTTTTGTTGTACTCTAAGAAAATAGCTTCGTTATATGTGTATTATAGCAAACCTGTAAAGTGGCTTACTAAATGTGTTTGTTTTATCCTTTTTCCCTAACTGATATGTTATGTGACCTAATTGATATGTTGAGCAATACTCTCCTCTGTAAAGAATTGCAAGAATCTCACCTAATTGATATGTTAACCATTGTTGCCCTCTCCAAACTACAGAAGTTGTGCTAAAACAAGCTAACAAGGGTTGTTAATCACTGTTAGGTGCCTATATTCTCTGCTAAAGAAGCTAAAGAAAACTAGAATGGCCCATTAATTTATACTTATTTAAAGTAACCTGCTTGTGTGCAGAGAGATTTGAGTATGAGTTTAACCCTTTACCTGACCTTGACACATAACTGCCGTTTTCTGTTCTGTATGGCGCCTTATTGCCTCCCTCTCCCCTCACCTATCTATCTAGGCCATAAAGAATTTGGGTTCCTGGTGGCCTCTCCCCGACCCGGTGATGATCTGTCATAAAATGAGCCTGCCCCAATTTTAAGAACTGCTTAGCTTAAAAGAAATTACCGGGTAACACTATGGCCCAAACCCTGATTGGTGCTTTCCTTTTGTTCTGTATGTATCAAATGAGTTAGATATCAGATCTTTGTAAAACTTAAGTTCCAGCGTCTCATAACTTGTGACCCCTTCGCACTCACTAGCGAAGACAAGCTGTCCTGGGATAATTAACTTCCCCACTTTCTTCTCCAAATATTGCTGCAGATGTGCCACTCCGAGATAATGTCAGTCTGTAGGATGGGAGTAATTTGAGAAACACCAGGAACTCCTGAGATTGTCAGAGCTAAGTGGACAGCAATACAGTTTCCAGACTTGGGTCAACAAGTTTGATGGCTCTGCAGGTTTCTTTGTCTCCCCCCACTCTTTTCCTCCAGCCTCTTTTTAAAGTCCTCCCTTCAGTCTCTGGGGGACAGTCTCCAAATTGGCTCCTGGAGACTGGTCGCCAGGCCTGGAAATAAAGCCCTTGCCACCTAAATTTTTGGTCTCTTGCCTCCTTGGATTTTATCCTGGGACCCAAGTTATAACATTTTTCTTTTACATATTTCTTACTGTGACTTTTATGATAAGAATCCATGAATTGAAGTCAAAGGTATTCTCTTATTTGCTATATTGCTATGGGTAAATTTCAGACCTCACTTGACCATGAAAGGCTTTTTTTTATGAAAGGGGAAATAATTTCTACTTTGTTGCAAATGATCATGTAAAATGATTATTCGAATTGAAATTTCCAGAAATTATCAAATACTATTTAACCATTAGTTGGTAAATAATGCACAATAAACCCATTACATTAAACTTCAAGGTAACTTGTACTTTATTTGCTGTATGGAATAGTTGTATCTTGAATACATACATCTTGAGTTACAATAAATCAAATGTATATTACAAAAAGAAAATGAGAGCAAGCAGCACCTTGGAATGATGAGTCATTTTGTTTACCATTAAACTTGTTGAGCATGAGGGGAAGGTTAGCATTTGCTTTTCTCTCAGTCCCACTCAGTTCCCTCAGGCATCTGTAATGCTAACTTCCCACTGTGCAAAGTATCATTGCTGTGTTACAAGATGGGGCATGAGCCAGGCATAATAGACTCAGGCCTGTAGTTCCAGCTACATGACAAACTGAAGCAGGAGGATCACAAGGCCAGCCCGGGCAACTTCTTGAAACACTGTCTCAAAATTAAAAGGGTTGGGACTGTAGCTCAGTGGTTGAGCTACTTAAGTAGTATGAGGTCCTGGGTTCAGTTCCTAGTACTGCCTGCCTGCCTGCCTCATTTTTTGCATGTATTTTTTTCTAAACTGCCTAATCTGATTCCTAAATGCAAGACTTTTTGGGGGGCAGGTAGTGGATTCAAATCCAAGGCCTCTACATGGCATTACTTCTCTAGCCCTTTTTAAATTTGGTTTTCAGGTATGTGCAGTCATGCTTGGCTAAGCCAAGTATTCTTCACTAATTCTAAACTAAAGGAACACTGTATGAGAGAATTTAAGGAACTTGATGAGGGACAGTACTGTATTATACTTGTACTCTTTCATTACTGTGACAAAAGACCTGATATCCACAAGTTAAATGAAGATTAGTGCACAGATTATAGAGGTTTAGTTTATAGTTGCCTGGCAGAGAATAGTTCATAGCAAGGCATGCTGAAAGTGGTGAAGCAGTGAGCTCTCCTTTCTCTTTATATTCCATCCAGGCTAGAAGCCTATTGGTTGGTGCCATCCACACCCCAGATAGCTGTTCTGTCTTCAGTAAATAAATCCGTTCAGCCACAACCAGAGTTATGCTACTTCCAATCAGTGAGCTAGCTAATTCAGTTATCAGTGCCCATATTCTACCCTAGATCCAGCTCCCTCCAAAAAGCCTCATCTTCGAGTATATGAGGCTTTGAGAGACATGTAGGTACAAGCCATAACACTACTTTATTGTTGGGCGCAGGCGCTCAACATACCATACCCCACCTGGGACTAAGGACCACGCCAGCTTCCGCAATGCGCTACGTCCCTCTTTAAATTAGCCAACCCGTGCGCACTTCGTGCTCACTCCATACTCTGTGGCAACTCCTGATTGGCCACAGCTGGATATAATAGCCAGAGCCTGCATCCCATTCCCGCCCTGCTTCCTCGTGGCAGCCTGTGATTGGTCACGGCCAAATATATAAACCAGAGCCCGCGTAAATAAACCAGCAGTTAACTGTCGTCTACAAGAGCGTCTCCTGTTTCATTGGGGCTGCACCAGTCACTTTATGAGTGACTTAAATTTTTAGTGGTGATTTTGACTATATATTATACTACTTCCTTGTCTTTAGTTCCCTTTTGTGTGTGTGTGTGGGGGGTGGTTGAGACAGGGTATTGCTATGTAGTTTAGGCTGACCGTGAATTCACTTTTTAGCCCAGACTGGCCTCGAATTAGTAGTGATCATCTTGTGTCAGCTTCCTGAATCCTGGGATCAGGTGTGCATCACCACGTCCAACTCCCTTTAATATAGTTCGTGTTTTGTCTTGTTTTTTGAGATGAGGTCTTGCTGTTTAGGCTGTCCTTCAACTCACTGTGTAGCTTGTGTTGGCCTCAAACTCATAGCAATCCTGCTGCCTTATCCTCCGGAGTGCTGAGATTCTAGATGTGCATCACCAGACCGGCCCTTGTCCTTAGAGCTTAACCTGTCCTAAAACAGGCATTTACTGTACGGGGATTTTGTTTATTGTATTCTGTACTTGCTTTAAGTAAATTATGTGGAAACTATTATATGTACATCTTTTCTGTTTTGTTGAAGACATTTAAATTCTCAGCAGTAGTCTTTTAAAATAATGGGAAGCTTCCTCCAAAAAGCTTCCCCCAAGCAAACAAGTAACCTAACCTTTGTAGCATAAGATAAGAGTCTATATGATCTTAACAAAACCCACCAAAGGGTTTTGGTACTCAAGGAAAAAAGTACTCAGTTTGCTGTTTTGATTTTGGTCCTTTTGGGTTGCCAGATTGGCAATCTTTCATCTTTTTATTTCATGCAACACTCTCCCCAACAAATCTTGAATCAGAAACTAAGTTGTTTTAGTATTAGTAAAAATTAAAGATACTCAAGAATGTCTTGAACAATTGGTTTTTAAACATCCTAAGAATCAGTTTTGTGATTTTTATAAAATATTTTATATCAACACAGCTTGGTCTAGTATCGACGTCCTGCGCAGAGTGAGAAGCTTGCAAAGGAGAAGTTTCTGTGTTACGCACCAGTTCCACACACAGAATGTACTCATGCTGCACTGCAGACATGTACTAATAAAAGTAAATCTAAAAATACAGTGGAGTGGGAAAAAACTCACCCTTTTAAATAAACATTGCACACATACACACAGAAAATATTTCCAAAGCTGCTAAGATAAGGCAAATGTAGTTAAAATATAAACCAGTTGGTAGTGGCCATAGTAGAATCTCTGAGAAGCTTTTTCATTCTTTTTCTATGGCCAGCTTTGCTTTTTAGCCCAGCTCCTTGTCCAGCATAGTGATTGTTTAAAAACAGCACAAAGCAGAATGTCAGTGAGAAACAAAACAAAATCCAACATAATAAATCACACCTTTAAAACATCAAATTATTTAACACCGGAAAGTCATTATTTAGAACTGAACTGCAGTTTTGTTTAATAAGTGATATTCCTAAACAACTGAAATTGACAGTCTGATCATGTCAGGAACTTATGTACATTATATTTTTGTTTTTTTCAGGTCTATGCTTGGGGATGTGGGGCTTGTTTAGGTTGCGGTTCTTCAGAGGCCACTGCTTTGAGACCCAAGCTAATTGAAGAACTGGCTGCCACTCGAATAGTTGACATTTCTATTGGAGACAGTCATTGTTTAGCTCTTTCTCATGGTAAAGTCATTTGTCTTTAAAAATATAGTATTAACTATTATCTTTCTTACATAGCTTATGTTTAAATTTATGTTTTCTTTTGTAATTTTTATGTTCAGATAATGAAGTTTGTGCCTGGGGCAATAACTCAATTGGACAGTGTGGCCAAGGAAATTCCACAGGTCCTATCACTAAACCAAAGAAAGTGAGTGGCTTAGATGGCATAGCTATTCAGCAGATTTCAGCTGGAACATCACATAGTCTGGCATGGACTGCTCTCTCTCGGGACAGGTAAGAGTGCCGCTCTTTTAATAATAGTAGAAACCCCATAAAAGCAGAAATAACTAGATTTTGTTCATAAAATCTCTTTTCTGAATATTTCTATTATTTTTCATTATCATAGTAATGATATTTAGATTCCTTTTCTTTGAATATTGAGGCTTTTATGTGTTTCTTAAGCAAGAAGTTTCACCCTGCATTTAAGAAATCTTCTTCTTCTTCTTCTTCTTCTTCTTCTTCTTCTTCTTCTTCTTCTTCTTCTTCTTCTGCTGCTGCTGCTGCTGCTGCTGCTGCTGCTGCTGCTGCAGCAGCAGCACTGGGGATCAAACTCATGACCTCGCACTTGCCAGGCAGGCACTGATGCCACTGAGCTAAATCTACGGCAAGATATTCTTAATTGTTAAACATTTTTAATTTGTTCTGTATCTTTAGGTAAAGGTGTTAGAAATTATATCAGGAGAAAAAATAATTACAATCAGAATGATGCTTTATTGATTTAAAACAATTACTAACCTCACTATGATTTATCTGGTTTGTTTTTTGGGAAAAAGAAAATTATGGCCATACTTTTTTTTGTTTGTTTTAAATTTTAAAACAACAACAACAAAAGATACAGAATTTCAAAACAAAATAATAGGAGATAAACTGGTTAATATATTGCATATTGTTATCTTCAAAGTAGTTCAGATTACATGATACAGGCATTAAAAATGATCAAACAATGAAAGCAGAAATTGTTTTTTTTTTGATGAACTAACAGAGCTTAGTAGTATGGTTATATATCTTGTGTGTTTTATGTATCTTTTCCCTTTCTTTTCTCCTTCCCCCATCCCAGTTGTTCTTTCCTGTTGAGCAGTTTCTTTCACTTTCAGTTTAACATTCATGGTACCTATTGTGGCCATACTTTTAAATTAAGGAGGCTTTTTATTTTATTATTTTGCAGAAATTTAGCTTTTTCCTAAGGTGATAGCCATATCTTTTAAACTAATAATGTATATAGGTAAGGTTTTTAGTCAATGGTAGATTGAATTTTAAGAAATGTTTGAGTTACTTCAGAGTTTTGTAGATGCATGTGGGCTGATACAAAGCTTAGAATGTTTTCTGTTTGCATTCGAGACCTCTGCGTTATTAATTTTTAAGCAATTAAAAATTCATAATCACCTCCAAAAGAGCCTAAAACAAACGAATATCAGAAATTTGTATTAGTATTAAATTTGCAGCTTCCTACTTCATATGTATGTGTTGTTTCTCAAGATCTTGAAAGTCTTCACACAAAGGTTTCAGGAATTTTTTCTTTTAATATATTACAGTGTATCATTCTATAGACTCATACTAATTTTCTTACTATGAAATATACATATAGACTCTTAGAACCAGAATTTAGTAGATCATGTGACTCAGTCCTCTCTTTATGGTCAGTAACTAGCCAAGCCTTCTAGCACAGGTGATAGTTAACACGTTCTTCTCTTTCTCCTTCTCATTCAAAAACCTTTTGAACCCAGGGACACTGTACCACTGAGCTACATGCCAAGCCCTTTTTCTTTTTGAGACAGGGGTTTGCTAAATTGCCCCAGGATTTGAATTTGTGATCCTCCTATCTCAGCCTCCCAGAGTGTTGAGCTTACAGATCTGCACTACCACACCCAGTTTGTTTCCTTTTTAAAGATGATAAATTCTTGGTTTCCTCACTTGCTAAAAGTTGTATTACCTTCATAATTGGAAGCATTTTTGTGTATCTTGTCAAAATCTCTCACCTTTAGTCTGCTTTGATTTTAGTTTTTGATCATGTGTGAAATTTTTTTCTTTTACTTTCTTTTTTGGTAACGGGGATCAAACTCAGGACCTTGCACTTAGCAAGCAGGCGCTTGTGCCACAGAGCTACATCCCTGGCCATGTATGGCATTTCATTTTAAGCTAGGCATGGTGGTGCATACCTAAAATCCTAGCACTCAGGAGGCTGAGGCAGGAGGATTGCTGCAAATTTGAAGCTAGCCTGGGTTACATAGTGAGTTCGAGGATGGCCTGAACTATATAACGAGACTCTCTAAAAACCAACCAAACAAACAACAACTTCTGCCTCCCAAAAAAGGGGAAATTTCATTTTAAGACTCTTTTATGGTTTCCTTATACTTCCTCTAGACAAGTTGTTGCATGGCACCGACCTTACTGTGTAGATCTTGAAGAGAGTACCATCTCGCACCTGCGCTCCTTTCTTGAGAGATACTGTGATAAAATAAACAGCGAGATTCTCCCCTGCCTTTCCCATCATCAAGGTATGTTATATTGTTAAGTATGTGCATTTTGTGTGTTTGTGTGGGCATGTGTATGAATTATTTTTGACATTTGACTTACTCTTCTTTCTTGCTTTTGCCTGACTTATGTGAAGCTTCTTCAGATGCTAGAATACAGCTAAATTTTTATCCCTAATAACATCTAGGTTTTAATATGTTATCCATAATTTCACAAGTCACATTTTAGAAACTACAGTCAGTCATGACTGGACAACATTTTTAATGACAAGGAACTGTTACAAACAATAGCACATGTACTTGTGTGTTTTAGAAATTCACTGTAGTATATTTGGTTTCAGGGAACATCAGTTTTCTCAAGCTATGCCTGAAGCTTCTTTCAAATCACCTTGCTCTTGCACTGGCAGGAGGGGTAGCCACCAGCATTCTTGGGAGGCAGGCGGGGCCACTTCAAAATCTGCTCTTCAGGCTGATGGACTCAACTGTTCCTGATGAAATCCAAGAGATAAAAGAATAGGGCTTGTAAGTCTGTAACTCAGACCACACATGTGGTATATTTAGCTGTATATGGAGCAAGTTCATTGCATATGCTTTCTCTTATCTTGGTAGGTAAATATTTTGGATAACTCATCTTTTAAGATAGAGGCCATCTCTGAGAAATCTTTCAGTCCTTGCTTCTCACCAGTTTAGATTTCTCTCATGTGTGTTCTAATTGTGTCATACTGTATTACAGTTTCAAACATTTCATTTACAAACATGTTCATCTTTTTCACCACAAGATGAATTTCTGAGGGGAAGGACCCAGTTTTACTTATTTTTGTATCTGAGTAAGTGGGTAATCTCCTACCAGGACCCTACTCAGAAATGGGAGTAGAATTCACCAGAGAAGCCATTTGATCTTGGATTTTTCTATCTGGCATTTATCATTATCTTGATCATGATCATCATCATGGTCATCATGAATTTAGTGTCTTATTCATTATAGGTCCATTCAGATTTTCTGTTTCATCTTGAGTCAGTTTGGCATTTCAGTATATGCAGATAGAAGATACAAATAGGCTTGGGGAGGAACAAGTGACGAGATCAGTGAGTATAAATGAATAGATATTGTTTGAAAAAGTTTTTTTTGTATTGTAATACAATTCTAGTTTTTGTAGTATATGAAGTCTCCTTGCAGTGCAACCCTAAAGACAAAAAAAATCTAAGTTAAAAGATGAACAAAGAATGTTAGCAGACATATCTTCAGAAAAGATATTACAAATAAGCACCTGAAGAAGTACTCTTTATTACTCACCAGTGAAACACAAATGAAAGCCACAGTGTGATACTTCTTCACATCCATTAAATAGCCAGAATCAGGAAAGACTGACAACAGCATGTGTTTAAGGTGGGGGAGGAATTAGAGTGCTCATACCTTCAGATGGGAATTTAAAAGGATGCCACTGCTATCCAGTTCCTTAAATATAGTTACCATATGACTCATATGATCTGTACCCAAGAGAATTGAAAACATATGTCTCTGTAAAAGTTGGTGTGGAAATACTGTAGAGGTGTTATTCATAGCAGCCAAAGAGTAGGGACAGCTGAGCGTGGTGGCCTCTGCCTGAACAACTTGATGAGACTGTATCAAAACAAAAAAAGAACTGGTGAAGAAGCTCAGTGGAATACTTGCCTAGAAGGTGTGAGATCCTATGTTCAACTGATAACCTTTAGCATTGAGGAAAAAAAGGAATGATACAAATGTGTGCTGGCTGCTAAGCCAAGTGTAGTGTATTTATATAATGTAACATTACTGAAATGTTACATTTCTATAAAAAGAAATGGAGTATTGACTGACCCTTAAGAACATTATGTAAGTGAAGGAAACTGATGCAGAAGGCTTCATATTTTTAACTCCTCAAAGTTTAAAATTTGTGGAGATAGCAAATGTGTAGAGAAAGGAAATAGATTAGTAGTTGTCAGAGACTTGGGAAGAATAGAGAATGACTGTGAAGGGGCACAGTTTGCTTTTGGGATGATGAAAATGTTCCGAATTATGAGTAACTCTATAAATGTGGTTAAAAAAAAACACTGAATTTTGTACTGTCAGAAGGTGAATTTTATGGCACATAGATTATATGTCAGTTTTTTAAATAAAGGAATAATACAATAGTGATTTTTCTACTAGAACATATCCTCTTGGATCAGGAAGAGAGTAACATTGGGGTTGGGGTGAAAAGGAACTGTAACAATTTAGTATTTATCAGAAATGGGATAGTATGAGTTTAACATAACAAACAGCAAACTAAAAATAATCTTTTTTTGTTTTCCATTTCCCCCTTCTTCTTTCATGAGAAATTTAGTGTTACATTTTAATTATTCCATTGAAATTTAAAATGTTTCTTTTATTTTTAGAATATAAAAGGCTTTCCTTTATCCTGCAAGTATTCCCTTATTTTTGTAGCCTCTTGTTCTGATTTTGTATTTTTAATATAATATTTTTTTTCTTATTTTTCTATGTAGTTGCTTTAAACAAAAACAAATTAGGCCATTAGTTTTAGTCCGTCTTTCCCATGACAGGTTTTTCTTGTGTTTTTAATGAATTTTGGCTGTCTAGTTGTGTTTAAGAGTGTGTCTCTAATGGGCTGTTGATTTGATTCTTTTCTTTTTTTCCCTTTTTTTTGCACCTGAATAGATTTTATCAAACTTGCTGTGGATGGATGAACAGGTAGTGGGGAATGACTCAGATTCCCCATAGGAAGGCTCTTCTTATCTCCTGGCAGAGGTGTAGAGTTGGACCACAGTTCTGTGGTGGGCAGAAAAGCTCAGATGCCTCAATACTCAGACTGAGCAATGTATCTTATGAATTCCTCTGCACTCAGTTCTGTATTACTACCCTCAAGTGTGCTCCTTATTTCACCCAGTTTTTAGCTAATTCTTTGGTTTTAAGCCCCTCCCTTAGCTACTGTTGCAGAAATACTTGAGCCTCTAGGAATTCTATAGAATGGATGAAAGTACTTTTTGATTATCAGTTTTTAAACTTAGGATACAACCTTTTCAGCTCTAAGTCTGCTAAACACTTGTTGCTTTCTGGTTTTAAAGTTTTTTGTTGTTATTGTTGTTGTTTTTTTGTTTTTTTCGTTTTTATCGGTACCAGGAACTCATGACCGCACACTTGCAAGGCAGGCGCTTATGCCGCTGAGCTAAATCCCCAGCCGCTGTTCCAAAGTTTTGATGCTGTTTCCCCTTACCACTTTTTTCATTTTTGATCTTTTTGTATGAAGCTCTCTTCTGCCATCTGTCCTTTTCTTTTCTTTTTCCTTTTTATCAGTACCGGGGATCGAAATCACGACTACCTGCTTGCAAGGCAGGCGCTTATCCCAGTGAGCTAAATCCCCAGCCCCTCCATCTGTCCTTTTAAAAGTGCTTTTGGAAATAGAATACATTTATTTGTTCCTTAATCCTATTCACCTTTGTTGAATTTCTGTAGCTAGAGTTTAGTTTAATTATAGTAACCACAGGAAATCTTTAAAGGTTCTTCCAATTCTTAGCCGTTGGAGAGCAATGTTTTCTATTAGAAGAATTACCGTTATTGTGCAATTGAATTTGTCATCATTATATTATATAATCCAAGTAAGCAGAAACATTGACTAATAGAGAAGTTACTAAAATTAAAAAGCCCTTTAGTGTTTATCTAGACTGACACTCTGATTTTGTTAATGAAGAAATCATGACCTATAGAGGTTAAGATAGTGAAGCTGGCTATTCCTTATACTATTCTCTCTGCCTGGATCTTTATGTGACTAAGACTGGTAACCATGATTTTTTTTAAATTTTATTTAAGAGGAAAAAGAGAAAAACACAAAACAAAACAAAGCGGTGTAAGGGTACACATAATACAGAACTACAAAAAAAAGGTAACAGTAAGAAATCACCTGTTAATAGATTACATATTATCATCTTGAAAATAGTTGCTCAAATCACAGTATCAAAGAATACAAGGTGGACATTCAAACAGGGAGACTGCAAACAGCTGTGTTCAATGATCCAAAAACATTGATATAGTCAGCTATTTAACACCCCTAAACACACTTGCTGTTATATCCATTAGAGCTCTTTTTATTTTTTTCCCTCTCTTTTTTACAACAAAATTTACACATTTTGGATTTTACTACTCCTTAGTGCTTATTACTTTTATTGGGGGGAGAGAATACAGTCAAATATGGCAAAACAAAGCTGTCAGTCAAAACTAAGGATAGACATAGCAAATGGTGTAGAACAGAGCACTAGGTTATCAACAATGGTTATTAACGTTGTCTCTTGTTTCCTTAAAAAGAATTGTCTATCTCATTAGATATTATAAAGTTGGACAAAACAGTAGAGAACAAGACCAATAAAACTTAGGCATTGTAAACATTACAGGACTTCCAAAGAAGACAATAGTCAAACCAGAATGGGCATCTTAGTGAATCTTATTGCCTTCAAAGTAGTTGCCTATATCCTCAAACTTGATACTATCATACAGAATGGAACAGAGTCTAATCAGTCAAAACAAGATCATGGGAGTATTACAGGACTTCAAAACAAGTTAATAGGAAATCAAAAAGAGTTACTATATATATATCCTAATTTTTAAAATTTTTTCCCTTAAGAAAGACAAACATAAGAAATGACTAAATAAATTTTTAAAAAAATAATAAGGGGGAGATTGAGATAAAACAGGGCATAACAATATAACAATAGAGGTCAAAGCATGACTGTTTCAGCAAACTAGTACTTCACCACCATATAACCTGATTTAATAGTAGTTACCATAGTGTATGTCTTTTTCCTTGAAATATTTGGATAAAATTTCATATACTCTAGCTTCAAATATTTCCGTATCAAGAAGCCCAGAATAAAGCCTTTCTAATTAATGAGTGAAAACTTTATAAGGCTTCAAGGCCACATAATGGGAAAACACGATTACCACATATTTTTATATATTTGAATCATTACTTACATTAGGGAAACTATTCGGTATTCACACATGCGAGATTGATTTATTTCACTTATGAGTATGGTCTCAAGCTGCGCCCATTTATTGATAAATATCTCAATGTGATCCTTCTTTATAGCTGAATAATACTCCATTGTATAGAAATACCACAACTTTTTTATCCATTCCTCAGTTGATGGGCACTTGGGTTGTTTCCAAGATCTGGCGATTACAAATTGTGCTGCTATAAACATAGGTGCACATATATCACTGTGGTATGATGCTTTCAGTTCTTCTGGGAATATGCCTAGAAGTGGAATAGCTGGAATAAATGGGATTTCCAGTCCCAACTTTTTGAGAAATCTCCAGACAGATCTCCACAAAGGCTGTACCAGTCTACACTCCCACCAGCAGTGCAGGAAAGTTCCTTTTTCCCCACAGCCTCTCCAGCATTTGTTGTTGTTGGTTTTCTTGATCCTGGCCATTCTTTCAGGAGTGAGATGGTATCTCAGTGTGGTTTTAATTTGCATTTCTCTAATGACCAATGATGATGAACATTTTTTCATGTATTTATTTGCCATTTGCATTTCTTCATCTGAGAATTGCGTATTCATCTCAGATACCCATTTCTGGATTGGATCTTTGAATTTTGGAGGTCTGAGTTTTTAAAATTCTTTATATGTTTTAGACAAGAGTCCCTTGTCTGAGAGAGAGTTCACTAAAATCTTTTCCCAGTTTGTGGGTTTTCTTTTCACTATGCTGGAGATTTCTTTTGACATGCAGAAACTTTTTAATAAGAAATGGTCCTAGTTATTGATTCTGGGAAGTATTTCCTGTGCGGTTTGAGTCCTGTTCATGAATTCTCTACCTATTCCTATGTCTTTAAGGTTTCTACCCAATTTGTCTTCCAATAGATTTAGTGTTTCTCTTTTAATATTCAGATCTTTGACCCATTTAGATTTTAATTTGACACAGGTCACATGTCACTTGTTGCATGGTTCACCAGTGACATGTGTGACACGTCACATGTGACACGTGTGAAAATGTAACATGGGTCACACATGTCTGATGGCATATGTTACACGTGGACATGTGACAAGTGTCACACATGTCACATGTGACATGTCACATGGGTGACATGTGACATGTGTCACACTTGACATGTAACATGTTTGACATGTGATGTGTCACATGTGACATGTCACATGTTACACATCTGATATGTGACATGCATCACCATGTGACATGTCACATATCACATATCACATGTGTTATGCATGTCACATGTCACACGTGTGAGATGTGACATGGGTCAGGCATTTCACATGTTACATGTCACACCTGTGTCATATTCATCACACGACACGTATGTCATGCACTCTGGATCACATGTGTGATGTGACATGTGACATGTGTGACTCATGTCACATATACATATGACATGCAATAAGTGACATCTGTGACACATGCTATAGCACATGTCACACAAGTCATGTACATCAAACTACACATATGATGTGTACTGTGGATTATAGGTAGTTGAAATGTAGGAGTGTGAAAAACACCATGGGTAGGTGTGCATCATGAGAGTGTTAACCAGGCTGGAAAATGTAGGAGTGATAAAAACCCCACAGGCTTGTTTCCATGGTTAAGGTCTGAACTAGGACAGAAAATGTACAAATGAAAAAAACACCACGGGATGGTGCGCATTGTGAGGTGCTGTAACAAGCCGGGAAAATGTAGGAGTCAGAAAAACACCACCAGGTTATTCGCAGCAGGTGTGTCTGAACTAGGCCAGGAAAATGTAGGTGTGTGAAAAACACCATGAGTTGCATGTCGGGTCTGAACCAGGCAGGGGATATGTAGGAGTGAGAAAAACTTTACAGGCTGGTGCACGTTGGGAGGGACTGAACAAGGCTGGAAAGATCTAGGAGTGAGAAAACCACCACAGGGTGGTGCTCATTGGTAAGTTCTGAACCAGATCATGAAAATGTATGATGAGGCATCCAGCTGAGCGGAGGCCGGCCCTGCTACCACCTATCCCACCCAGGACCCATAATACCACCACTGGGGACTGGAAGGTGCACATCCAGCCAAGCGGAGGCCGGCCCTGCTGATGCCTATCCTGCCCAGGACCCATACCACCACCGCTTTGGACTGGAAGGTGTGCATCCAGCTGAGCGGAGGCGACTCCGGTTCAGCCCTGAAACTGTGCAAATTGAGGAAGCTTTAGGTCTACCCGAGAGGAGCCTGGCAAGCTTCTTTTAATCCAGGGGCTCTGCTGCCCAAGGAGGGAACTACTACAAGAGGAGTCCCAAGAGCCGAGGACATAAGAGTCAATTTACAACACAACCATGGGAAACTCTGA